GTAGAGAATTCATGCTCATGTTTTATGGGGTAAAGAGAAAATGATGCATCTCTGCAAGTCATCAGGAGCCTTTAGTGAAATCATAGACAACTATTTTAATAAAAACACATTCAATTATAAATTTATGTAGATATTAGTACTTGTAAATATCAATTTTGTGCAGAATGATTATTGATAAAAGTAGGAAAGACGATGGAAAAGATGTTTGCCCCAGAATTTTATCCACTTTTACCTTTTATCTAAAAAAGGTAAATCATTAAAATGTTCTAGCTACGCCTCTGGAGATAACCCCCGCAGAGACTTTAGATCTTTGTTTTGTTTTTCTAAATGTGAGCAGATTTCCTGGTTCATTGACTCACCTGTCTGGAGGACAGGTATGCCTCCCAGAGATACACCGTCCATGAGAATCCCAGGACGGCGTAGAAGATGTGCGTCTCCACAGGCAGGAGGAGGATCCCTTCCAGCATCTCTGCTCTGGGTTCTTCTCTGACTGACTAACCAGGCAGCTTGTTTGAGCTAACGGCTACTCCGCTTCCGCTCCACAGACACGTTTTCAACTTCTATGGAGGAGGAAAGAAACGAGTCCGCGTTAAAAAGCCAGACGGACTACAAAACAAAAGCTAACTAGCTTTGATTCACAAACAGAACGCCTTAACATTCAGTCCCTTTTTCCATTCATGTAAGCTTCCAGCGCCCCTGAGAAGTGTTTCACCGTCTTCTGTCCCCGGTGCAACGGCCGTGACTTTGGTTCCGCCGCGCGCCGGTTTCCGATTCCATCCTGCTTAGCGACTGCAGGGGGCGCTGTTCGCACAGGGCTTCTTTACTCCTCTAATAAATGTCTTAAAGTTTACTGCAAATAAAAAAGGCAGAATACAAACTGCCTCTTTATTTTAAAATAGTTTTTTCTGTTTGTAGATCAGTATTTTGTGAAGATGTGTTTTTTTGTTTCAGTCGGATAACGCGGTTTAAAATAATAATCATTGACTAATGAAAAAGATGGATAACTTATTAGAAAAGTCACCATAAAAAAATGTTGCTCCTTCCATCCAATTAAGGTAGTTTCCTTAGATTTTCCTTTAAAAAGTAAACCCTTTTAAGCAAATTAACTGTTTAACAGGAAAACTTTCTATTGCTTTACAAAGACAATTTTTTTCCAGTTTAATTTCTTACACAGAATGCAAATTTGAATCATAAGTTACCTCGAAGACAAAAATATACAATCATTAAAAAAAATGTATAACAGCGGAAGCAGGTTTTAGGCCATCCAAACCTAAATTCAAAGCAGAAAATTAAGGAAGTATAACTGCCACAAGCTAAAACCTCTTAATGCAACATGAAAAGTTTGTTGTGCAAGAACTAGAAGTATAAACCATTCTTAAAATATGAGAACTCAGGATATTATTGTTCAAACCTGGAAAAAAAAACAACAGAAAAATGTTTACCTCTGATCAAGCTATTGCTTATTAACTAAATTTTCTCAGAACTAAAATGTTAATGTTTGATTTTAAGCAGTTTAATTTTTTATTTTTTTTTGCTGATTTGTAGACAAGTTTTAGCCTAAAAATAACTTGTGTCATTACAAATTGGTAACATCCATTGTATTTTATTGCATTTCATAACAATCTTCAAACAAAAGACTCAGTTAAGTTTTTACATTTCAACATTAAGCAGCTCCATTTACGTTCTGCTGTGCTTAATTCAATTATAGACAAAATTACACTATTTGGTTCCATTTCCCCCAAATATTTAGTAACATTATGTTATCTTTAATGGCAGACGTTGAAATTCTATAAAATTAAGAGTGTTCTTAGAAATATTTTTGGTTATCCCAAACAGTTTAATCCAATTTAATCTCTAGAGTTTAATAAAATGGGATAAGGTCTTTCTATACGGAGAATATTATCTGTTAGAAAACACCAACTATGTTACTTTAAGTAAAATTTCCACTAAGATGAATGTAAAAATCGTATATTATTCTAATAAATAAGGGGTAGCTTCTATGACTAGGAAGCAGAATCTACTAAATGACCATCTTATGTTGGGAGATCATTTTTCTATCGTGCATAGTGCTTTCTGACATATCAAACATATAAATACACTTTGCAAGTTTGCAAAGTCTTGTCTTGTACAGTTTTTGCATCTCAGAATCATGACTCAGTGTGGCGAAAACGTTGAACAATGATTCAAAGCATAATCTATTCAGGATGGACAGCGGTGACAGAGTCGAGGCAGAAGTTCTAACCCTGTAGGGGGCGCCATCTTGTCACAATCCCAGATGAGAAGGTACCACACCCAAAGCTGCCTGGAATCAGATCTACTGTTCTATATAATATGAAAAAGTGTGCAGGGAGTGATGTGGGCAATGATAAGCAAATCTTGCATCAATTACTCATTTTTATTTACTTCTATTTTGCATTTCAGATGGATGATTTGCTTTCAAAAGGCATTACGATTCTAGAAATTGTTTAAATACTCTCATCCAATTGTACGGAAGAGGATTAGGGCCAGTGAAAAAAAATAAATTAATTAACTGATTTTTAAATTTTATTTCAGTTTAGTATATGATTAAAGTCAAAATTCTGACTTTTTTTTCTCAGAATTCTGACGTTTTTTCTCAGAATTTCTGACTTTAATCTCAGAATTTCTGACTTTAATCTTGGAATTCTGCCTTTTTCCACAGAATTTCTGACTTTAATCTCAGAATTTCTGACTTTAATCTCAGAATTTCTGACTTTAATCTCAGAATTTCTGACTTTAATCTCAGAA